CTTCTGTCAACCATTTTTTTGATAACACTATATTTTGTTTACTAGTAACTTTAACGTGTATGCTTGCAGTCTTGTTGGGAGTGAAACAAAATTTTGAAAATAGATCAGATGAGGAAGAAGGCCAAGAAAATAAAATTGAAAAGAATGATAAAAATACCATAGGTTCTTATGACAATGAAACTCAATTAGAAAAACATAATACACATGGCAAAGAACCTGATGAAAACAAGAAGGAGCACACAGGGATAAAACATGAACCTTTCATTAATATTGAAATATATACTCAGGAAAGAAGCAAAAATCTTGCTTGAGTTGATCAAGTTTTGTACACAGAAGAATGTCTTTGAACAGTTCTGCATTAAACAAAATACGGGGATGGGTTTCACGTTGTTTTTCCTCATAAAATTTGTGTATAAAATTGTAAATTTAAAAATTGTAAATGTCTGACAAGCTAAGGACACTTGCATTGTAGTACATATAGATTTACCTCAATCAAAATCCATGTATACTACATTGTAGTACATGTATGGGTTTTGATTGAAACAAAGTACAGTGATAGCTGCTTTTATTATAAGTAAAATAGCTCATTTAAGTATTTCATAAGTTGAAAAAAAAACAATCTTTTAAAGGTTTCCAAAAGTAAGCACTTTGACCAACACTTTAGGGACAGATGCTGTGATAAATAAACCTTGATAATGATAAGCATGAACTCTATAGATTGGAGGTTCATGCTTATTAATGGAACTCCCTAAGCTCATTTACTAAGCTATTAAACACTTTTTGAAACTTCAAATAATAATGACACATTTTGCAGGTCACTTACTGTTAATTACTATTATTATTAGTGTGTTTATAAATAAAAAAAGTTTATAATAAGCTTTTATAATAAATAAAAAATTTCTTAAAATAAATTAATAAAATTGAATACTAAATATTAAATTACTAATTATTTACAAGTAAAAACTATTATTACTATGGTATATAAAAGAAAAGTAAAATCAGAATTGTTTTATATAAGTTAATAACATCAACAAAAAATTTCAGATTAAAAAAAATTTAATAATAAATAATACCACTAATAATGACTAACAATAAAGTCATAAGTATTGCAGCTAATTTTCATATTTCATTTATTTTTATTTTAATTTATTTATTTATTTGAATTTTTATGCCATATTTTTCTATACAATGTTCTTATATCAGAAGATATTGTTGGCTTAGCATAGGAACAGCCATAAATAGTAATTAAGACTAATCCAAAGTAGCGTCTGTTATTGACCAACATTTGCGTACCGAAGTACTACTCAAGCGCTGAGTAGGCGGTGGCAGGATTTGATGTAAATAAAAAATACATATCTTACTGCTGACCTAATAGTGTTTGAGGTTGGCAAATTGCTGATGTCCTTTCTATGTTTTATGGTTACCCCTTAGTGGCAATTTTTTTTTTGTCAACCTGATACAAACCGCTAATGATTTAAAATCTGCAATTTATTGCTGACCTTATTTCAGGGTTGCTACTATATTTCTGGAATGAAATTCCCTGATTTTCCTTAAAACTTTTACATTAACCCCCAGATGTGCTATTTTTAACCCCCAAAGAAACAGATAGCCCGCTTTTTCTATATAAGACATTTTTATATTCTGTTTTAAATGGAAAACCAATAATTTCTTTGATTAAAAAAAAAAAAAGATAAAATACTTTGAACCCTTTAAAAAAACAGTTGAATTTAGCAAAAAGGTCTTTGAAACAAATATAAAAGCTAATACTAAACATAAAGATTGTAAAAATAAAAAGCTTGAAAAAATAACCAGCAAAATAAAAATAAAAATAAAGCTTGAAAAATAACCAGCAATTAAAATATTTTAAATAACTAGAAAGACAATAATAACTTGCATTTCATACTTCATACTTTTCCTGCTCCTTAAGTCCTAATACTACTTGATTCAACAACATCACAACAACACCACCACAACAACAACATCACAACAACAACATCACAACAACAACATCACATTACTTTCGATTCCTTTTGTTTGCAAATTTTTATTTTCCTCTAGATATTGTTAATATTTCAACAAGGCGTTACAAACAGTCTTTAATTGTAGATTTTTACTTGTTAAGCCTTTAATTTGTTAGATATCATGAGATCTTCGATAGTCACTTGTCTTTTTTCACAAAAGACAAATGACTTTTCTTTCATGTTTTCACTTAGCATATTACTATTTATACTAAATCCCCTCTCAACTAATGCTTGACCATGATCTAACAGAAAAACTACTTTCAAGAATTTTGACACTTGTATTTTATACCAACTTTAATGGTTTTAAAACTTGTCTAAACAATTTCTAGTGATTTTTTTCTAATGCTGGTAAAAGATTACATGAACTTTTTTCTAAAAACTTTGAGAATCGTGAGAAAGCAAGATCACATTCATTTGAAGAGATATATAAACAGAAAAGAATTGGATAAATAAAAAGCTGATCATTTACAGATTTTATCTGTATGAGAAAATCAATAAAATTTCAGAAGTTCTCATTGATGATGCTGTAATAAAATTTCAGAAGTTCTCATTGATGATGCTGTAATAAAATTTCAGAAGTTCTCATTGATGATGCTGTAATAAAATTTCAGAAGTTCTCATTGATGATGCTGTATAAAACATCTTGTTTAATTATTAAACTCATTAAGCTTTAATTAGTTGAAAACAAATCTTTAAAGAGATGAAATCATTGAGGTGTCTGATATCTCACTAAAATTTTCTGCAACAAATTAGCGATGTAAAATCTTGTTTAATTATTAAACTCATTAAGCTTTAATTAGTTGAAAACAAATCTTTAAAGAGATGAAATCATTGAGGTGTCTGATATCTCACTAAAATTTTCTGCAACAAACTAGCAATGTAACCAAAAAAAGTTCAATTTAGTGAAAGTTAATTTATCTTTCAGTTCAGTGACAGTTACATAATCAGCTCTTCTGGCAGGAGAACCATGGAAAAGGTTGCAAAAATGTTGCAAGGTTGCTTTCATTAACTTCCTTGATTAAAAACCTTAAAGCTACATAAACTTCTTAAAGTTAAGAGTTGCAACCTCAATGTAATCCATGGTGCTTTAAAAACACCATGGATTTTATGGAGGTTGCTCTAGTTGCTCAGGCTGCTTTTTAATAAGATCAAGAAGTAAAGTTTATTTTAGGCCATCTGTACACAGTTTTTGAGAGGTACACAGGTATTGAGAGTCAAAGTATTTGTATTCAACACGATTTAAATCATTGTTCCAAAAATGAATGCTTAGATCCATTTGACAATTTTGAAAAGAATCATTTAGGCTTTCATCAAATGAAAAACTATAAAAGAAGATTTCCTGATATTTTTTGTTAAAAGTATGTGTAAACAATGTAACAGTTGTGTTATCAGAAGACATTTTTTAATATAGTAAATCATTCAATGAGAAATTATATTGTACTGCATGCAAAAGAGATACCTGCACAAGTTTTATCAGATTGCTCTACTATAAGAACTCCTTGGTTTTTAGATGTAGCAGGTTTGAAGTAGCAGGATAATAGCTTTAACTTTCTGAATATGTTTTTTCCCCTCCATGTGACTTGTCACAACTCTCTGATCTATATTTGATAAGTTGAATTGAACTTGGCATGTTTTGCATTTGACTGACTTTTTATCTGTGCGATTTACTAGCCATTATTTAAACAATCGATCACTCAAACATTCTTTATTGAAATAAACTGTTATTTAAAAATTTTTAATTTTTATTTATTCTAAAAAAAATATAATAAAAAAACAGCATGATTTAAAGAAACTTTGAAAGTCTTCACATGTTGCAGCTATTTCAACACAAAAAAGCACTTAATAAATTCATTTAAATTATTAATAATGGTTCCATTCAAACTTACATAAAATATTTTGCATAAACTTTTTATTTGGTTTATACTGTAAATATATGACCAGAATAAAACTTAATTTTTTTATAACGATCAAATAAAATATACTTGAACAACCTTTTGAGCTGTATAATTATTTAATTAGTTAACAAAAAAATTATTCACTATAAAACATTTAAAGCATTAAAATAAAATAGTACAAAATTAAAAATTTCCCTGATTTTCCCTGACTTAACTAAATCAATCATTTTCCCCTGATTTCCCCTGATCATATCTAAATTTCCCTGACTTTCCCTGAATTCCATGATTTCCTTAATTTGGTGGCAACCCTGTATATTCCTGATTGTGAGTGCGTACATATATATATATATATATATATATATATATATATATATATATATATATATATATATATATATATATATATATATATATATATATATATATATATATATATATATATATATATATATATATCAGGGTTGCCACTATAAATTTTAAAGTTTTTCCCTGAGTATTCCCTGAGTAAAGAAATTTTTCCCTGAGTTGAACTATTTAAATTTCCTGAGTTTTCTGTGACTTTTCCATGACTTTTCTATATTCTTTACCTGTTCATCAACAAGATTATTATTTTCCTTAATTAAACAAAATCTTTATATTTGACAAACTAAAACTTTTACAAAAACACCCACATCATGCAAACTTATTATTATATGTATTAGCAAAATATTTTTAAAAATCAGAGTTTTCCCTGAATATTATGAAAATTTTAAAAAATCCCTGAGTTTTCCAGGTTTCCCCTAGGATTCATGCTATTTCCAGGTATTTCAGGTTATATATATATATATATATATATATATATATATATATATATATATATATATATATATATATATATATATATATATATATATATATATATATATATATATATATATATATATATATATTATACACACTCACACACACACATATATACAAATATATTAATAAAAAAATTATGAAATTACTATTAAATTACTATATTTGTATCAAACTAATAAAGTTTTAGCATTTAAAGTTAGCTTTGACTTTTAAAACAAAAATCTTGTTTAAAAAAAATTACATTTGTTTTGCAATTCTGCTTTGATATAGATTTAGAAACCAACTTCTTAACACGCAGGCGACCAAGAGGACTAACAATCTCGGGGTCTAATCCTATTTTCGGAATAACTTCTTGTTCTTTCTCCTTTAATCTAATATATAAAAAATCTAGAAGACTTAAAATTAAGTTTACAAAAAAAATATTTTGTCAATCAAAATTACAAAGCAACTAAAATAAGTGGGTTCAAACTAAACTGACTATTAAAGCTGTACACAAAACAAACTATAATGGTTTCCTAAACTGTATTTAAAAAAAAAATATAACAGCCATCAAAACTGTAGTCAAAACTAGCTATAATGGAATTAAGCAGTTAGTAAACAAATGTAAAACTGAAATCACACTTACTTTGCAGCTAATCCAGGTTGACATGAGCCAATTAATGTACAACTATGTGGTTTGGAGTTAAATTGAGATATTAAAATCTAATAAACAAAAAAAAAATGCTTTTATCAAGACAAGAAAATGATTAATGAATTAAAACAAAAACTTACATTTAATTTTAGTTTTCATTTACCTGCAATTTTGAAACAGATGTACAAAACTCTAAAGGTGAATATTTCAGTGTGATGTTTATACAACTATTTCCAGGTAATACACCTAAGAAAGAAAAATAATTAATAACATCAAAACTTATAATAAAATATTATAAGTAATGCTTTTCATTCAAATATTTTTAGGCAAATAAACCAAATAAAACTTTTTTGAGTTCAATAAATTTTTTGAATCAATATAAAATAAAGTAGAACATGGGAGGAATGCACATACATTGACTGAATGTTTTGGTTTGGGTAGGTAATCTACTAATTTAAGGTTAAAAAATTCATCATCAATTTCAGAATTCATTCAAATGCAAAAACCAGCATTTAAGCAAAAATAAATAAAAAACAATATTTATAAGAACCCAAAAAAATATTTTTTGCTGATGTCATGTTTCTTTTATCAAAATAAAACTGCTAAAAAAGATTTAAAAAAATGATAATTATTATGTAAGATAATTAGAGATATTCAATTTTATTAGAATGAAAAAAAAAAAAAAAAAATCATAGTTAAAATTTTATTTACTCTTTTTTTTAAATATAATTTGATTGTCAAAATAATGGGTTCTAATATACTATTATTAAAATTGATTGAAGTAAATGATTTTTAAAATAATTCTGTATTAACCAAATATAAAAATATGTTACTAGCCAGCTATTTGATATTTAGACCTTCGAGTGGGCTTGCGTTAAAAAAAGCATTCTTCTCAATAAACACAATTTGAAAATCGAAACTAACAGGTGTGTTGTTCTGCAGTGGAACATTTTTAACATCACTAAACAAATAAAGTTTTTCATATTATATACTACTTATTGTATGTTATTTATATATGTTGCTTACAATATTAGCAGGGTCGTCCCGAAGAAATTTTAAAGGAGGGTGAAGTGTCTGTTTTTTAACCTAAAACTAAAGCCACAAAAGATTTTTTTGGCCACTAACTTTTCTAAAAAAAAAAAAAAAACGTCATCGTTTTCCAACATTTGCCAACTGCCAACTATAGATCCAATTTTGCCAACTCCAGTGTCCAATTTGCTAACTAAAACTCTATTCCTTGAATAATAAAATTCGTACACCCCCCTCGGGACGGCCCTGTATATTAGTTGTTATGGAATATTTACTATGTATTATTGAGTTATATATATATATATATATATATATATATATATATATATATATATATATATATATATATATATATATATATATATATATATATATATATATGTATATATATATATATATATATATATATATATATATATATATATGTATATATATATATGTATATATATATATATATATATATATATATATATATATATATATATATATATATATATATATATATATATATGTATGTATATATATATATATATATATATATATATATATACATATATATATATATATATATATATATATATATATATATATATATATATATATATATATATATATATATATATATATATATATATATATATATACTATAGGGTTACCTTATAAACCTCATATCTAATTTTAAATTAAAAAAAACAAAAACTAATTAAATTTTATATTATTATTTTTTTATTATAAATTGGATATATTTTATTATCAACTCAATAATACAATTTATATATTTTTTATGAATTATAATGACATGTAAGCATTTAACTAATAACTTTACACTAACCTCAATCCAACAACAGTAGGCTTAAAAGTTATTAAAGTTGGAAAAGTTGATGCCAAATCCAGATATAAATACGCATATATAGGAACATTAAGATCTGATATATCCTAAATCAAAGCAAAATATAAGATTATTAAAAAAATATCATGAGATTTCTATAATTTCCTTTTAGCACAAAATAGGTAAAACAATTGAGAAAAAAGATATATATTTTCTGAACAAGTTATTTTACAAAAAAGACTTTTGAAGGAATGGTATTAGTATTACTGTGCAGAACCCAAAGTTGTTTATATACATAGTACATTAATAAAAAAAATGCGTTTTTTACAAAATCCAAGACAAGCAAAAGCTATGAATGGAAACCATAATGTTCATGTTACCACATTTTGAATAACATTAACTTTGGCTCTAATGTTTCTCCTCATAGCTTGATGATCATATTGCTCCCTAAAATTTCTCAACCCTGGAGCATCAATGATTTGTTCTGGCAGAGAGTTCCAATGTTTAACTATACAATTGGTGAAGGAATTTTGCCTCTATTTGCAATGTTTTACCAGTTGAAACTATGTCTTGACAGCAGGGGTATTGCAAAGAATAGAGGAAAGAGACTTTGGTGGGCGATGCCAGTTAATGACATCAATGCGATGTATTATTCTAAAATCATATCACTTTTGAACTTTCTCTCAGTTGGGGTGGTAAGTCCTAGTGCTTGGAGTCTATCTTTGTATGGCAGTTTTGATATTGAAAAAATTACTTTTGTATTTTTTTGTTATATGTTTTCTAAAATCTGTATGTCTCTTGCTTGATATGGCGACATGATTGAACTGCAAATTCTAAATGTAGTTTAATATAAGTTGTATATAGTGATTTTTACAGATTTAAACCTCTGTGCTGAAATGCTTTTTCAAAAAAATCAAAGTATTTGATTGGCCTTCATAGCAACAGAACCTACTTGCGTCTTAACTTTAAAAGATAAGTACACCTAAATCTCGTTCAATACAAGTAACAGCTAATGTGTCTTCTGTGCCATTGTCATCATACATATAGTATTCATGATTCAATTTAGTTTATCCTTGACTGATATGCATGATCATACATTTTGTTATATTGATTTTCATTCACCAATTTCTTGACCATTTGACAGCTTTATTGATATTAGCTGAAAGCAAGATGAAGGAAGTGAATTCCAAAGAACTGATGTTTAAGGAAAAAAACTAGACAATTAATAATTTTTGGAGAACTTAGGAATAGTCACAGTAAAAGGATGAGACTAAACTGAATGATGAGAAACACAAGAAAGAATTGTGTAGAGGGCACAATAGACTTAAGCTCTTTAGAGCAGTGCCCATTATAGCATTTATAGAATAGAGAAAGAAAAGCAACATTGCGACAATGTGATAATGAATGGAGGTTGGCAGCAAGAGCAGGCTCAACTATGTTTACAATATGTTTTCACACCTTGTCTAAAATAGAAAGGGCATCAGTGGAAGATCCACCCCAGATGTGGCAACAGTATTCCATAAATATAGAGTTAAAAAATAGATTCCATACATATAGAGTTAAAGAATCCGAAGTAAGAAAGTGGCAAGCATGATAAAAAGATGCAACCTTAGCAGATGCTAATTTTGCAATCAATTTGATATATGGTTTCCAAGAAAAATCATAGGTAAGAGTTAATCCTAGAAGATAAAGGTTAGATGACTTATTGAGTACATTACTGTTCATAAATATAAGATCTAGATTATTGCGATAACAATTAGCTGAAATAAATTGAGTTTTATCTGAATTAAAGTTCAACAGCCACTGAGAACCCTATGCCATGGCAGAAGAGAGATCCTTTTCAAGCTCAAATGCCCCCTCTAAGCAATCTAATATCAAAAATCAGTAATTATAATTATCAAAACAGTTATTGTTAGCATGGAGATGTTTGTATATGTGTAAGTTTTTGTCTCTCCTGTAGTACTCATTCATGTTTTAAGGTAGCGAGAAGTTTTGCCTATATAACAAGAATTACATCCAACGCATACAAACTTGTAAACAAGTGATTTCAAAAAAAAAAAACATATATCTTTCAAAAAGTGAGGGTTCCAAACATAAGTACAATAGGCCACACATAAACTTTATAGGCTTTTAACAAAAATTGAGAGTTGTTAGTGATAAAGGATTTTAAAAGAAGGTAAAAAAAACCATTAATAATTTGTATAAATTTATTAATTTACAATTCTTGATATTAAATTGTTGAGTACAATATTTTATTAAATTTAAATAGGGTAAAACCATATTATTATAAAGTTACAAATAATAAAACCTTTACAAAAATTTGAAATTTAATAATTAATTTATAAAAAATAATGTAAGTTATAGCATAACTGTTACTCAAACACTACTCTTGGTTCAAAGATAAGCTATGCACTTGAATAAACCATGTTAAATAGCACATATAGAATAGCTTACTGCTCTTTTTATTATTTCTTGTTTTTTCTTTTTTATTGTCATCATATTTATCATGTATAAAATAACTTAATTTTAACTCAATATATTTTTTAGAAAAAGCATTATTGGTAAGGAAGTTTACCCTTCCTTTCTTACTGATGTTATAAAACTTGCCCAGAGGTATATATATATATATATATATATATATATATATATATATATATATATATATATATATATATATATATATATATATATATATATATATATATATATATATATATATATATATATTAGGGTAGGTCGATTTTTCACTTTTTTTAATTTCCTATTTTTAATTTTGTAACGGCTAAGGTACTGAAAGGTGAATTTATATATATAAAACAAAAAAATTAAAAGTTGAAAGTATTTAGTTAAATGGCCGCTTGCGGATTAGCGATTAAAATATAAAAGTACCCTCATCAACATTTGCTATAAAAATATTAACTTTTTGCTTGTGGTTTCATATTTTTCAATACGTTCACATTAAATTTTATTCAAAAAGAGTTTGACACACCAAGGAAAAACTCAAATATTGTATTTAAATTTATTGATACGGTTTATCGTTTCGTTTTATTATGCAAAAACGTCACAAGTCCAATTTATATTTAAGTATAATTTTTTTTTTTATTGAGTTATATAGATTATCGAATAGCCTGGCTTCAAATCCATATACTGTGTTAGAAGCTTCAGAAACTAATTTGACACACCTCTTAACGCTCTGGGAATGAGAGGGGAGGTCTTGAATATTAGGCTTTATTTTACTTTTAATGAATGTGTAAATATCTTCATTAGAAAAATCTTTTGTATTTGGTGGCTCCATTTTGATATAAGCAAGATCAGCAATATCAATAAGAGATATCCAGCTCATAGCATTCTAATTTATTTGAGGAATTTTCTTTTCTATTCGATAACTGCTTTTGTTTCTGAAAATAAAAATATTGTTACTTTCAAAAAACTTGCTAAAAATAAAAAAAAATGATTATACTTAACTGAAACTTAATTAGCACAATACAATTTTTAAAAAAGCTTTATATACAGATGCCTAATAAATTATAAAGAGGAAAATTAATTTTTAAAAGTTTAATGTTTTCTGAGAGTGAGTATTGTCTTAAATCCAAGAGTTCTGATCTGCTCATCATTATTTTTAACCATTGCGTAGAGAAAATTTGCAGGTATCAAACAGAAAGCATTACCTTGAATGTTTTTTTTTACAATCTTCTTTACATCATCAAACTTAATAAGGTTCAATTGATTAATAGTGAAAAACAGAATCTGGGGGAATCTTGCAGTTTGGAAGATTTCTTTATTTGAGACCATGATGGAGCATAAACTTTAACAATATAATGGGAGAAACATCTCGAGTGTATAAACAAAGAATTCGTATAGAAAGAGTTAACCATCGAGCATGATTCAGTGGACCTATTTTACAATTAGCCCATTTGTCATCTACTTTACCTAATCCAATACCTTTACAATACTTGTAAAGAAGCCTTTGATCATGACTAATATCTTTTAATATCTCATCTGAAATAAATCCTTCAGTGATAGAAGTTTTAATTGCTTCAAACTCTACTTGAGGTTGTCTATGAATTTCTTCGGAGCATCTATTCCCAATTAGTCCACTAAAATTTTGTAGACCGGTTGTTTTTTCATCTAACGTATTAAAAAGGGCTTTTAGTGGGAGTTCATTCTGATGAAGACTACAGTATAAAAGAATAGCAGAATGCTCTCCAGGCTGTCATATTCTTCAAGTACACTAAATGTCTCAAGAGCAAGAACATCCCCAGTTGCACCAACAACGGGTATTGTTCTGTGTGTCAAGTAGATTCCGTGAGATTTGCCATCCTCATGTGTAAAAGTAAGGTGATGCTCTGCACCAAAACATTTTATTATGAAATTTTTTTCTTCAGAATTATTTGCTTTTAAGTACATTTTCGTGTTCTTATCTATCTTTCCATTTAAACCAATACAAAATAATTGTGTCTTTTCTTCTGAATCTGCATTTTTTGAAATTACTTTTACTTTTGACTTAGCTCTGTCTAATTTACACTCATCCATTAGAATATTATTGATGTCAACTTCAGGTAACAATAGATACTTGATATCATGGAGTAAGGCATTTCCAAGAGCTGCCCCGAGATTTGAAGAACATCTGCCTCTGACCAGCTCCATAGCATATCTTGGAAACTTTTGAATACTATAATCTGTCTGAGTTCTTTTACTCGGTTGCCATTCATTATGTTCCTTAAGTAAAAAATTTAAAATATTTATGATAAACGATTTTATTATTAACAAGTGTTAAATATATAAATTAAAATACCTGAGGTTTTATAATTTCAGATATGCATTCTGGGGGATCTGGTAATGAACCTGAAACCTCATTATTAATATGTTTGTGATGTGATATATTTCCTTCCTTCTGTTTAATCCTGTTATTGTGTTTTAAAGCAGACGTATTGAAGACTGAAGACATCTGATATAGACCTTTTTGTCCTGTTTTTAAATGCTGGTCTCGTATATAAACTCTTTCTTCTATTGGGACCTTTGCTTCTTTAGGGCATATGCAAATAATGTGTTCCGTTTTGCATTTTTCTTTTTTGCACTTTACATAAACATTGTTACATGAAACAAT